AGTTGCTGCGGCTGCCTGTCTCCACTTCCTCCCTTCCAGGTCTGCTAGGAGATTGGAGTCAGCCAACTGTGATCTTCCAGGAGGTTTGGAGGGGGAAAGGGGGCGGAGGCCATGTCCTTGCTGCTCTCTGCTCTTCTCTGCTGACAAGCAAGATAGAGAAGGGGTGAGCAGGTTCTGATGCCTCCTCCCAGCTGCCTGGGTGGTGGCAGGCAGGAACAGCAGCCGCAGGAGCATCTATTTTGGCTGCCACAGCCTAGGATGGCAGCTCTGGATGTTTGGCAGACTCCTGACTCTGGAGGCAGAGCCAGAGGGTGGAACCCCACCCCCACCTCTGGAAGTGGTTCTCAGAGGCCCAGTCCAGAGCCTTGTGTCTGCTGTCAGCCTCGCTTAGATTAACTGCAGTGGTTCTGCTCCCTGCACCCTGATGGCCACAAGCTTGGCTGCCACAGATGATGTGGCCTTATCACCACAGGTGTGGGTGGTGTGGTGATGGGTGGTGTGGCTGCCCTTCAGCTAAGACCACAGAGCACACCTATCACCAAACAAGTTGGCCTTTCTCTGGGCACTCCTCTGGCGGACCAGAGGTTAGGACTCCGCACTTCCCCTGCAGGGTGCACGGGTTCAATCCCTGGTCTGGGAGCTAGTAGTAAGATCCGACATGCTGCGAGGCATGACCGAAAAAGAAAAGTCGACTTTACTCTGCCGTTGCAGTAGGGGAACACACACCTGGGAGCCATGAGGTTTCTCAGTTGGTCATGGCCTTACATGAGGCGGTTTCGTGGCTGTTCAGTCGCTCGGTCGTGTCAGGCTCTTTGCAACCCCATGGGCTGCAGCACACCAGGCTTCCCTGTCCTTCACTGTCTCCCGGAGTTTGCTCAAACTCATGTCCATTGAGTCGATGTGAGTGAGTGTGAGTCCATTGGGTGATGTCATCCAACCGTCTCATCCTCTGTCGTCCCCTTCTCCTCCTGCCTTCAGTCTTTCCCAGCATCAGGGCGTTTTCCAATGAGTCCGTTCTTCACATCAGGTGGCCAAAGTATTGGAGCTTCAGCTTCAGCACAGCTTCAGCTGGTTATGGGCTTGTATGAGGTGGTTTCGGTGAAAGTTGAATCGGAAGCAGGGCTTTGCTCTGGATTAGATGCTGTGGGGAAGTGGGGGGAATTACATGCTTGAATATCATAACAACTCACCTCCGAGAAGGGGAGCCTGTGCTTGGTAAAGAAGCATTCATCACTCATAGTAGCGAAGAGTGGAGAGTGTTTGACCATTTTTTGTGGCTCTGAAAGTATTCACACTTTTGTCTGTGTTTGGACCTGATTACAGAGCACTCTTGTTTTTGTCTTGATCCACACCGGTCACGGTCTGTGAACTTGTTTCTGCTCAGCGGGAGACCACCGCGGTGCCGCTGTGAGGGCCAGGCCGGCCCGCAGACGCTAAGTGCGCATCTCTGCGGCCTGGGAAGCTGGTGACTCTGTGCTGCCACCGCCGGACGTTTGGTCACACCGTGGTCCTCAGTGCCTTCAAAGGTGGACCACGTGCCTCAAGAGTCTGTCAGCATCTGCTCATAGGCTGTGTGTCTTACCTCCTCCGGCTGCCTGGTCTCCCACCCACAGTCCGGACCTGTGGCCTCATGGGGAGGGCCTTATGGCTAGTTGATTGAGGAGGGAAAGCCTCGCGCCTGGTTTACAGATGGTCCCGAGGTGGATGGCTGCAGCCCAACAGCCCCACCTAGAGGTGGCCCTGGAGGAGAGTGTGAAGGAAAAGCCTCCCCGTGGTCTTCACTTCAAGCATTCAAGCACTGGGTTGTTAACCACTTTGCCTGGACTGCAAGATGGCTAGAAGTATGGCTCTACATTTGATTAATGGACAGTTGCTAATGGGTTGGGCTGGACCATCAAAGAGTTGGAAAAAACAAGATTGGAAGACTGGTAATGGGGTGACCTGGGGAAGAGAAATGAGCCTGGACCTCCCTCGAGTGTGAAGGTACTTTACCGCATGTGAATACCCACCCTCACGCACCTCTGCAGAGGAGGCTGTCAAGAATCAGTTGGGCAAGACAGTCTGTCCTGTGCCTTTCAGCCACTTTAGCCATCCCCCCAGGTGCTTGTTCAGTGGGCCCATGCACGGAACAACCAAGGCTGCAGGGATGGAGGCTACTAATGGGCCCCGCATCATGGACTTTGCCTCGAAATATCTGATCTGGCTTTATCACCATCGAGGATCTAACCTGCCTACAGCAGAGACCAACACTGAGCCCCTATGATGGTGTCATCTTCCAAGGGAACACTCCTCACTTGGTGAAAAGTCCATGACATTAGATTTCTTCCATTGTGGAAGGAGCAGCTGTTTGCCGTCCCTGGGGCAGACATTTATTCTGGATATGGCTTTGCCTTCCCTGCCGCTAATGCTTCTGCCAGCACCACCATCACAGATCTGCAGGATGCCTTGTAGACCTTCCTGGTACCCCGCAGAACATTTCTATGACCAGAGGATTGATTTTACAGCAGAAGAAACAAAGTAATAGGCCATGCCCATGGAGTGCAATGGTCCTATTTCTATTCGCTCACCCGCAAGTAGCTGGCCTGATGGGAAGGTGGGACAGCCTCTGAAGACAGGGCAGCACCAGCTGGGAGACTGTACTCGGAGAGGATGGGGCTCCATCTTACGGCTTCTGGTGTATTCTTTAATCAGGGGCTCATATTTGGTGCTGTTTTCCCCAAAGTCAGAATACAGGAGTTTGGGAGCTGCGGGGTGGTGGAGGAGCTTACTCTAACTGTTGTACCCAGAGACCAAGTGGGTTCTTTGAGATGCCTCTTGGTATTTCTGTTCCAATAGTAAAAGGTTATCATAAAGCGGTATCAACCAAAAAGTGGCAGAAACCTACTGAGCGCGCGAATCCTTTGGGAATGAATGCTTGGGTCTTTCTACTGGGTAGAGAACTCTAATCAGCCAAGGTCCAGGCTGAGAGGAAAGAAACCATGAAATGGATAGGGAATAGAGGATAAAAATCATACTCAAAGTTGCTGGGAAAGTAGATCTTTAATGTTCTTATCACAACAACAACAAAAATTATAATCATGGGAGGTGAAGGATGTGTTATCTAACTGAACTGTGTTAATCATTTTGTATTGATAATATATATGTGTATCAAACTATCACACTGTACACCATTAATGTTTACACAATGTTATAGTGTACAGCATTACACGATGTTCTGTGTCAAATATATCTCAATAAAACTGTGGGAAAAATCAACTATGTTGTCAATGAAATACTAGCAAAGAGAATTTAACAACACATAAAAAGTCTTATACACCATGTACAAGAGGAATTTATTCCTGGAATGCATGAGCGGTTCAACATACAAAAATCAATCCATGTGGGACTTCCCTGGTGGTCTAGTGGTTAAGACCCCACCCTTCTAACACAGGGGGTGTGGGTTCATTCCCTGGTTGGGGAACTAAGATTCCACATGCCCAGGGCAACAAAGACCCAGTGTAGACAAAATTTAAAAAAATAAAATCAATGTATATACCACATTTAATTGATGCCAAAAAAATAATTTGACAAAATTCAAACCCTTTCACAAAAGAAAACACTCAACAGACTAGAAATAGAAGGAAATTAGCTAAATGTAATAGAAACTGAATATATAAAAGTCCTCTATGAACATTATACTCAGAGATGAAAGGCTGAAAACTTTTCCTCTAAGATCAGGAATAGGGCAGAGATGTCTGCTTTCACCACTTCTATTCAACATTGTACTGGAATCCTAGCCAGAGCAATTAGGGCAAGTAAAACAAATAAAAGGCACCCATATTGGAAAGGAAGAAGTTGAATATCTCTGCTCATATGATCTTACGTGGAGAAACCGGTAAAGATTCCACAAAAGAAAAACAACTCAAAACTGTTAGAAGTGGTAAATTCAACAAAGCGGCAGGATACAAAGTCAATGGACAGAAATCAGTTGCATTTCTATACACTAACAATGAACAATCCAAAAAGGAAATTAAGAAAACAATTCCATTTACAATACCATCAGAAAGAGTAAAGTACTGGAAACAAACTTAACCAAGGAGGTGAAAAGACTTGTACAATGAAGATGACAATCTATTGTTAAAAAATTAAAAGACACAAATAAATGGATTCCATGTTTATGATTGGAAGACCTCATATCATTAACATATCAATACTACACAAAGCAATCCATAGATTCAATGCAATCCCTATAAAAATTCCAATGGAAAAAAAAAAAATTCCAATGACATCTTTTCAGAAATAGAAAAACTTATTGTAAAATTCATATGGAGTGCCAAGGGATCCCAAACAGCCAAAGCAGCCTGGAAAAAGAATAAAGCTGGAAGACAAACTTCCTGGTTTCAAAACTGCTACAATACTTTAGTAACCAAAACAGTACAGTACCCGCATAAAAGACAAAATATAGATCAAAGGTATAGACTAGTCATAAACCTATGTTTTCATATGTCAAAACTTGGAAACTTTGAATTTGGCAGTGATTTCTTTGAAATGATACCAAAGTCACAGACAACAAAAGAAAAGCTAGACAATTGGATTTCATGAAAAAATTTGAGTTTTGTGCATCAAAATACATTATCAACAGAGTAAAAGGGCAACCCACAGAATGGGAAATAATATTTGCAAATCACATACCTGACACAAAATTAACATCCAGAATATATAGAGACCTCCTAAAATTTAACAACGGAAAAATCACCTGATTCAAAAATGGGCAAAGAGGGACTTCCCTGGTGGTATAATGGCTAGGATTCGAGACTCCCAGTGCAGGGGGCAAAGGTTTGATCCCTGGTTGGGAACTAAGATCCTGCACGCCACATGGCACGGCTGAAATATAGAAAAAAAAAATCCCCAAAAGAAATCTCAGCATCAGCAGTTCCCTGGTGGTCCAGTGGTTAGGGCGTGGCACTTTCACTGCTGAGGGCCCAGGTTCGATCCCTGGTTAGGGAAGTGAGATCTTCAAAAACAAAAAACTTACATCACCTGCAATCTGAATAACACAAACTGAAACCATACCACACCGGCAAGAAAAAAAATAATAAAAAATATCTTAGCTTTGTTTTCCCTGCTGGTTATCACCACTTTATTTCTTCACTTCCTTTTGTACAAAACTCAAAAATGTTTTATATGGTTTCTGTCCCTATGTAATGATTGCTTTTCATTTCCTCTTAAACTTTTAATCAGGCTTTCACCCCTACTGTTCCATAGGAATGTTGCTAGTGATTTCATGCTAAATCATGATAGGATTTTTTTTTTTTTGACTGAAGAAATTATATTTACTTTTTTCCAAAATGATTTTTTTTAAACTTAAAAGGTCAAGGCTCTGCTACTTGTCCATTATGGTTGTGTGCTGGTTTCTCCTCTTTGTTAGTCTCATCTCATCACCCAAGCTAATGCAGGCTCCATATTCTGGAACTTCCACTCCAGCCTGAGACAGTAAACATAGTAAATAAGCAAATAGTATGTTAGGAAATAAGAGCTTTGTATTAAGAAGGGTGGGGTTGAGTAAGGAGGATTGGGAGAGCTAGAGCAACGTGTAAGTGTGCAGAATACTGACAAATTGAGATTTAAGCAATTTTTAAGATTTAAGCAAGTCTTGAATGAGGCGGAAGTTGGGCAGACCGAGAAAAAGATCTGCCCTGAGTGGCGAGTGGCGGGGCCCTTGGAGACTCAGAAGCACTCACCCTTCTTGTGGGTGAGTGACGGTTCCGTCCTCTTTGGAAACCAGCTTCACGCTCTCCAGTTATACTGAGCGGGCACAGTCTACACCCAGTCTTACGTGAAGGGCTGGAGATCTGAGCACTCCTTTCAGGATGGCAAGTCAGGCGGCCACAGCGTCACGGTCCCTCAGCTGGGCACAGCGCTTCCAGCACCACAGCACCCTGACGAGGGGTCATGTCGGCCACTTGCTTACTCACCGAGGCCAGAGGGACTGCAGGCAACTGGTAAGGAACAGAAATAAATTAGAAACTAGAAATGCAGGAAGAGAAAGAAAATCAGAGTGTGGGTCTTTAGTTGTGTGTGTGTGCGTGCACATATACCCGGAAAGCTGCTTCATACTTACTCCTGCGGTCACTTGAGCTCATCACATGGGCCCAGTCATTCGTGTTGACTGGTCATGACCGGTCAGTTAGGAACGCCCCTGGCCTCCAAGCCGGACACCTGGATCTGAGTGGTAGTCTGAGACGACTCCAGCAATTTAAAGAAAGAAATGGCTGTTTGTGAATTTTTTTCCTGAATCAGGCCTGATATCCAGAGGGCCTGGGATCCAGGGACACAAAACCTCCCCAGAGGCCTCAGCATAAGCAAGTGGAGTCAGAAAGACAGGGCGAAGGGGTCGTCCACTTCCAGCCCTGGGGGCCCAGCTCTCAGGGGTGGGCGGGGACTGCTGCTCACCTTCCCACTCCCCCGGCTCCCCCGGCTGCCCCCGCCACCCGGGCTTTCTCTGTGCAGCCCAGATCTGGTCAGGGAAGGGTCTTGGGTTTTCACCTCTGCTTCAGCAGGAGGAGGGGGCGGCGGCAGACCAAGCCGAGGCCAGGAGAGGCTTCCTGACTGCCCACCCCTCCCCCTCCCTGTGTCGGAACCTTCCCCTTGGAGAAATGAAGGTTCCGGAAGCGGTGTGAGGTAACACTGCCCGGAGCAGTGACCCCAGGAGAGAGGGTCATAGGCGAGCGTGGGCTAGCTGGGTTTCAAGGCTCAAAAGGAAGCACCCAGCCACCCCACCCCCAGTGTCCAGGGGAAAGAGAAAGAGTTAAAAGACAGGGGAGGGCCCGGCCTAGCCACCTCCTCCGGGAAAACTAGCTCTCAGGCACTGTGAGGTTCTAAAATATTTTTGTGTGCGTTAAAATCCATTCTTCTGGTCAAATATCATATACAATGTAAATATAACACCCAGAGCCTAGTATAACCGCCACTCTATAAGTTTCCTTTAATGGAATTATTTTAGACCACAGGCACAGAGCTTTGTTGTTTTATTTTTTTCTTAGATGTTCAAATGGCTATGGGCTTCCCTGGGGGCTCAACTGGTAAAGAATCCGCCTGTAATGTGGAGACCTGAGCTCAATCCCTAAGTTGGGAAGATCCCCTGGAGAAGGGAACAGTTACCCACTCCAGGATTCTGGCCAGGAGAATTCCATGGACTGTATAGTCCATGGGATCACAAAGAATCGGACACGACTGAGCGACTTTCACTTCAAATGGCTAAGCTAGTTTCCTATATTTTAAAAATTTGTTGCAGTGGAGGAGGTAAAATTGCTAACTTGTGCAAATAAACACAAGCAACTCATATCAAAGACCAATTTTTAAAATTAAACCAGTGCAAGAAAGATCTCTACTGTTACGTGAAAAGTATGCAAAAAGATTCTTCATGTTTTGTTTCTATTTCAGTACTGGTGTTAAACTAGGCAGGTATTCAGACAATATATCTGACTCTGGCCAGAGACAAGAAAAAAAAAACTTGCAGTCGAAAGCACTTCTGCAGAAACAGAGAAAGATGTGGGCCCATTTTCACTCTAGTAACTAACTTGTCCTGGAAAATAACTGAAAACCAAAGATATGATGTACGGAAACTTTAGGAACTGTAGCTTAAGTTCTAGAAAGACAAATATCAAAAACTATCAACTTCTAAAGTCATTTTATTTTCATTTTATCGACACATATATATTCACAGATGGACAGATGTAGAAATCAACTAGATGTCAATTACAAAACTGAAGGTTTTTGAGCTGAGCTATCTCTGCAGAGTACACAGTTGATTTTTCCCCTCCCAGAGTATACAGTATCCCTTTCAAACCATGGCTATGTATGTCATAACTATATTTAGAAGTACGCAGAGAGGAAAATACTACTGCAATTCAAGGCTGTAAATGAGAGGGAAACACATCAGAGCCTCATGGAATGGAAAGCTGAAACTTCAGTTCATGTTCCTCAATCAATATCAAACGTCAGATGACACTGGAAGGTGTTAATTATCACCAAAACAAAAATCCTGTAACAAATTCCACTGAAGAAAAGGGTAGCCTTTCTTCATACAGGAGGTAAAAAATTGATTTTTGGTTTCTCCTCCCAGCACTGTCAGAAGTAAATACAGTTGCAAAGTTCTCGACAAATATCTAAGAAGCTCTGTGGACAGTCTGAGGCACCGATTTGAGTCAATATATAGAAGTAGCCACTTGTTTACAGCTGAAGAACTTTCTTTAAAAACGCAGAGGAGCAAAGGGAGCTTCAGAAATCACGAAAAGCGATGAATACAGGCAAGAGGAACCGCCGCGCGTCAGCCGATGAATCTTTCCGACGGCCACGTCTCCTGCGCGTTGGTGGGGACCGCGGGAACCACTTCCTCGGGCGGGGCCAGGGCCTCCATCTCGCGCACCACCTGCGTGAACACCTGGTCCACCATCAGTTTGCTCTTGGCCGTGACCTCCAGGAACGGGCACCGCCACTCGCGGGCCAGCGCGCGGCCCTGCGCCGTCAGCACCTGGCGCTGGGCATCCAGGTCGGCCTTGGTGCCCACGAGCACCAGCGGCACGGCCTTGGGCCCCCGCAGCCGGCCCATGCGCTCGCGCAGCGGCCGCACCGCCTCGAACGAGGCCTCGCTGCAGACGCTGTAGAGCACCACGAAGCCGTCGCTGTTCTTGATGTACAGGTCCTTGAGGGTGACCAGGTGCTCGGCGCCCACCGTGTCCACGATCTCCAGCAGGGCGGGCGCCGCGTTCACCTCGATCACCTTGCTGAAAAGCTCCTCCACCGACGGCTCGCACTGCTCGGGGAAGCTGCCGCAGGCGAACTGCGTGGCGAGCGCCGTCTTGCCCACCGCCACGCTGCCCAGCAGCACCACTCGGTAGCCCTTGGCCGGTCGCAGCCCCAGGCCCGCCATGGCCGAAGCGCGCGGCTGGCGGGACGCGCAGCGGCAGGAATGGCGCGCGGAGGCCTGGGCGGTCCGGCGCCGGCCTCGCCCACCGGCCGCGCCACCCGGGCTTCATTCTCCGCTAGGTCCGAGCTACCCGGCCCCGCTGCGTTTTCCCCAGGACCCCGCGGGCGGGCGGGGACACCCCCCTCAGCCCCGGCTCCCTGCCCTCCCTCCGAGGAGAACCCCTTCCGTCCTGGAGCAAATGGTAACCGGATCCCTTCCACGTCAACCGGGAAATAGCCGCATTTCTTCACATTTCAGATCCAGTTTCGTGGCCCGAAGCCAGACTGGCCTCACTCAAGGTCAGGCCTGGGGAGCCGTGCCGCCGCGGCCCCTCTCCAGGCCTGGGGGACCCCAGGGAAGAAAGAGCGTGTGAAGGAGCTTCAGGCCGAGGGTCCCACCTCACTCCCTCCTGGCACCCATTCTGCGGCCTGGGCCCCTTATGCCCTCCCTTTCTTCCCTCGCGGCCCCCCAGCCCCCTCTTGTCACTGAGCCGAGTCCAGAGTTCACCTTTTATAAAGTCCAGAACTTTATAAAACGTTAATCACATCTCACTCCCCCACTTCAACCCTCCTGGCTTCGTCTTGCGCCCTCCTGGCCTTAGAGTAGAGATCACATGACTCCATCCCAACCCAGACAATGGAAGCAGGGACCCATTCACCCAGCAGCAGGCGGGCAGGGAAAGCCCTGGGCACCTGCGCTTTGGGGTCATCTAAAGGGGCTCCCCAGGTCTGACTCCCCTGCCCCAGTCATTTCCAAGCTTCCACTCCAGCTACACAACCCGTCTTGCTGTCCTTGATGTCAGAGGAGAAAGGCTGTGCGGGGACAGTGGCGGCAGGCGCGAGGGCCTGCGATTGCACACCCGAGTGAGCCCCGCCCACTGTCCGCTGCAGGAGGCCTGCAGGCCTGGGCCGGAAGTGGAGATGAGACAGCCCCTCCCCTAGGCTTGGGGTACCGATGCATCTCCCTCATTCCAGTGCAGCCTGAAGACCGACGGAGCTGGAGTTTCCTGCCTCCCTGGCAGCACAGGCTCAAAGTTTAAGTGGCAGTGAGACACCCTGCACTTCACTGTCTGCGGTCAGTGACAGAGTGTGCTTTTCTATAAATAGCACAGAACATCCTTAGTGTGTAATATTAATTGTATACTTATTAAAACAGACAGCTTGATTTCTAAACAGATATTACAACACTTATTTTCTGACTGCAGGATAGCAAAACTAAAAAATTTTTAAAAGGACAAGCTGTAAATATTCTCTGGAGAAATGCAAGTTCCACACAGGTTTCAACAACTCCCCTTGGATAACTTTTCAGGGAACTTAGGCAACTCACGGTCAAAACAAGTCACCAAACACATGAGGAAAATTTCACTCTGAGTGACAGCCGTTGGAAACACCAGACAATAAAATCACATCCAGAAACCTGCGGATGTGAGTGTTATCAGATATACAAAATAATTATATGTGTTTAAAGATTTAAAAGAAAAGCTTAAAAACATGAGCAAGGAATAAGAGACTATAAACTATAGTCAAGTAATTTGAAAGAGATTCTAGCCTTACCTCCCCCCCACCAGAAAAAACCCTTCAATACTTTGGCCACCTGATGCAAAGAGCCGACTCTTTGGAAAAGGCCCTGATAGTGGGAAGATGGAAGGTAAAAGGAGCAAAGGGCGGCAGAGGATGAGATGGCAAGATAGCATCACCAATTCCATGTTTGAATCTGAGCAAACTCCAGGAGATGGTGAAGGACAGAGAAGCCTGCTGTGCTGCCGTCCACGGGGTGGCGGCGCGTTAGACGGTAAGGTAACGACCGAGCAGCAACAAACCTTCTAGAAGTGGAAAATATAATAATTTATCATGTTACTTAACACAAATCACCCATTGATAGGTTAACTAGAAGTTTAAACATGGTTGAGGAGAGACACAGAACCAACATTATTCAGAGATGTGAATAAACCTGGACCAGTTTTCACCGTACAGCGCCCTGTGCCTGCAGGAGGTAGAGGTTTCTTCAGGCTGCCATGAGACTAACGGACATTCACAGAGTGCCTTAAATTGACATTTGGCTGGTTTGAGCCTGTCATTATTATTTGAGGCTTTGAAAACCCTTAACAAAAGTCAGCCAGCCCCGTGGTCCATCTTATTACCATTGCCTCAATGCAGTTAAAGTTCCACTGCCAGCATGGAGGCCCATGCTTCCCCTTCCACCTGAATCACATCCTGATCCACCCCTAGCAAGTCATTATAACTGTGCCACAGGCCAGAGCTCATCACCGGCTCACTCGCCACCAGCAGAAGGGCCCTACCATGGGTCTGAAGGGTGTGTGATGTATCTTAGAAGTCTACCCCTAAGTTTTGCTTAATACAGCCTCTTCTGGTACTAACTCTCTTAATTCAGATTCCCTCCCAAAGCAGAGTTTATGACATGGGACTTGGTCTAGTGGGCAAATAGTTTATTTTTGGAAGTGATCACTGGGATCCAGAATGGAGGCCCTGGAAGAGAGAAACGGGGAAGGTGCGGGGAATCCCACACCATGTGTATTCTTGTGTTATTGCTGTGGAGTACTTGAGAAAACATGGAGGATGTCAGAAGTGTCCACTGATGCACAGAAGCCCAGGAGGCCTGTATCCACCAGCACCCATTCCTCACGGCTCCAGGGTTGCCCTGCAAAC